TCAGGTCTCTCCTCTATTTCTTTAACAAATAGTTGTTAAATGAATGCTCTGAATATTGAATAGAGAATCTTTAATGAATATAACTAAATGTAGAACGCAGGAGAGAGAGGCCATCTGGGAATATAGCCCTGCTGTCTCAGGTTCAACAGCTTTTAACTCCTGCTGCTCTGTCTGAGAGAACTGGGATGGAGGACGTTCATTCTCACTGTCTGCAAATTGCGTCAGATTAACAGGGGAATCCTGAATGTGCCTCAGACGAGCTTGCTTTAACCTCCCCCATTCATCTGATGCTGGGATGTCTTTCAATATCCAATTTTTCATGTGCAGCCGTGCCCTCCATCTCCATCTATATCAAAGGCAGTGCTCCCCGCAGCTCCTCTCCTCCTTAATGCTGTTGTTGCTTCCCACCAATCCCAGTCCCCAAGTGGGATAGATCTGTGCTTCAGCACAGAGTGAACCACACACGGGCAATTCCAATTTAGATGATGCAAGTATTGGGTAATGTGTATTCAGAAGAAAATGCAGAGCAGATCGCCTATCTCTATAATCTGACTTGCAGAGCCCTGTAGCAGTCTTTTGGTCTTTGGGTACATAGGAGTTATAATGGAGATGATGGAGCCTGGTGAGCGTCAATGTAAACCTAGATCTATAATTTAAATAGGACATTAACTCATGGACAGGACTACAAACTAGAACCAATGCATTCTCACTCAAATACCAATGTTTGGTCAGTGGCCCATTGGTTCAAACTATGAGGCTCTAGGTGTCCCTCTAGCGTCAATGGACTTATCAGAGATGGTCAGTTTTTGCTCTTTACATGTATATTGTCTTTTCAAAATAGACTTTTGTGTTCACAGGAAATATACACTATCCTCATACGTTTATTTAAAATTAAATGTACGTGTTCTAGGTTTTAGGCTTACTTAGGCAACAACTACTTGGTTTGGTTTAGGCAATAAAAGTACTAGGTTGAGCTTAGGAAAATATAGGTTTGAATAAGTATTTTTGTTCCATGAAATAAGTTAGTTTATTATTTAACTGGCTTTACTTAAGCACATGAGCTATATAAGGAAACTGTGGTGAAATAAGTCAACATTGACTTGTTTTCACACAGGACATGAACAGTGGTGTCCTCTGTGGAAGTCCTGTGTTCTGTACACAGTTCTCCACAGTTCGATTGAACAACCAACCTCCATTCCTGCCCGACCTATACAGACTTTCTCTTTATTTTTACTACTTATTTTGCTCTAAGTGTCTAATAATGATGCAGATAGGTTTATATTGGAGTTAGTTGTGAGTCCGGTGCGTCTCATACAAACGCTAAAGAGTACCTCGATGCGTCGGTATCATAGGCTGAGGATCACTGACCAAGTGGCGGCCTTTGACGAGTTAGGATTGAGAATGCGTTGCAGGAACAGCTTCTGGTGTTAGCTTACAGTGGATTAAAGGTCTAGTTTTGGTCCTGATTGGAACTGGTTTCTCTTTTGCAAGAAAACGTGCACAAAGGCCTGGAATATTGATTTCCCCTAGCAGCTTTCTGCTGAGGTGAACATCTACTGCCCTCCACAATCAATCATCGCCTCCAGGGTGCCACCCAGAAGTTCACAACCAGTTTTTGAAATCCTGATGACACTCAGACGACAGAGCTTTACTGTTGTATGATAGTACTCGGTTTCACTCTTGGTCGGGAATGAAAGTACTCCAACCTTCAGAAAATAAAGATGTGTTTGTTTGAATCTACATCACGCAGTGAAATGTAAGCACTTCACACCCTGTACACATGATCACAGAATGTGAGTGCTAATATACTGGATGAGGCTCACAACTGAGGTGTTATTGTTTCCAATATATATGCACCTCCATCCTCTTAACCCCTCTTCCTAAATCAATCCCCTGCAAAAGCCGTCCACAGGCAGCGGTATATCCGCCAACACTATCCCTCCTGCTTTGCCATGCTCCAGCTAAGCTCAGGAAACAGCGGCATACACAGGAGCCGGTCTGCAGGGAGAAGGAGAGGGTGGGGGGAGGAGCGGGATTGAATGGGGAAGTGGGAGTTGGAGGGCAGGGGAGGGGGGGATTCTTTGGGAAGGGAGCCAATCCAATTACAGGCAGCGTTGCAGCCCTGGTTTCTTTGGCGGCACTAAATTCACATTTCAACAGTCTCTTCCTCCCTCCCCCAGTACCTTCCTCCTTCTCCTATCTCTGCCTCTTCCTGCTACTCTTTTTCCTATTTTTTCCTCATCATGGCACACACTCACACCCCCTAACCATGCATCCTCACACACCCTCCCTCTCCCGATGTCTGTCTCGGTTGCATGAAAGAGGTAACGGTATAGAACTGTATCACCAGCAAAGCATCCAATCTTGTCACCCTATAGCTGTGTCATGCTCAGATCTGAAGGAAGCCTGCAGCCTCCTACCCAGTCTACACATCGAACGCAACTCTGTAGGAGCTTATCAGCCTTCTGCAGAGGAGCTGCAGCCAGGGGTCACCTCATCGGGTCACCCTATCCCTCTGGCCTCCCTGTGGCACCTGAGGGAGTGAATGGATAACACTTTTAATGTAAGCACATGCATATTTCAGACACGCTGAAACAGATCCACGCACCTAACAATGACAATGGGCAGAGCAGTCCACTTTCTTGCACTGCTATCATGCAGCGTTAATTATTATTCATTCCCTATTAAAAAAGTAATATTTTCTTTTTCCACGCAACGGAGGAAACTCACACTGTGGGCAGGCTAATTGTGGTCACTCTCTTTTTCATGCCCATTAGGTGGACAGTCAGAAGTTGTTAAATCATAAGCTTGTTAGGGGTTTCACAGAATACTCAACTAGTCAAATTCTCAGAATTCTAAATATTATAATAAAAATGTAATACGATAATGCTGGATTGATAAATAATAAATAAAAAAATATTGTTTTCCGATGCAACCCTTTGGGGGCTCAGACCAAAAGGTCTAAGTGGAATGCCTGAGAGCCTTCATTGCATTCCATTATATTTGAATTGTCACCAGCCGCCTACGTTTTGTGTTTCCTTCAAAATACAACATGTTGAGAGCTAGTGTCCATGGCATCTTTTGTAGCAGAGTACTACTAGGAAGTTCTGCTAGTACACGTGGTATACCTTATTGTGTTGTCTTGTGGATCCAGTCTTCACAAGGTTTTTCTGCTCTGGCCACTGGAATTCTAGGTGCCGTTGTCATATTGAAATAAATTGCTCCCCCCATGTTTGTGTGGTTACAGCCGTGCCCCTTTGAGGAGTACACAAGGCTAGTTTGCATGGATTCTCAAACAGGGGGCAGATAATAGGAGATAGAGGACTTGGGGTAGGGAAGTGACAGCTAGAGTATGGAAGGAAGGGGGGCGATAGAACAATATGCAAGCAATGGCTACACAGTGGGTAAAACACTCTTTTCTGTCTCATTTAATTTAACCAAGTCAAAAAAGGTGCTAAATTATTTAAAAGCTCAAGCAAGGGATTACATGAAATGAATCTTCTCTCCACCACTGCTGGTTGGTGTATTGATTTAATTATGAATAGATGGAGATCAAAATAACCCAGACCAGCACTGTTTGCGTTGCCTGGCTTGAAATAGCACAGATCTTGCCAAAAAGTGGTTTTAGCAACTCTCTTCCCTTTGCAAAGTCTTCCTCTAAGCTTAACACAGCTGTTAGCAGGGGGAGGGACGACTGTATAACCCAGTTATGGCCATGGGACACACTCCTGCTGTCACTTAAACAGGTAGTCCCATCGGAGGAGGAGCCAAGCCTTCAAACGGCTATCTAAACGTAGTCACAATTACTATTTTGGACAATATAATGTTCCAGATATAATTGTAAGAACCCATATTATTGTCATTTTAAGACCATTTTGTCACGAATATAATGATTATAAATTAGCATAATAATGCAAGCACACCTTTTCAAAGAGCATGGACCTTTAGTTTACGAAAGTATTCATTAAAATTGAAAAGTATCCTAAATAAATAATAAAATACTATAAAACCAAACAAAAAAACGACCAATAAAAAACTCTCTGGTCTTATCAACAATAACCCATGTTTGCGCAATGACCAAGTCTCATAACGGTATAGAAAATGTATTCTGGCATCATGTTGGCTAATGACAGCAAAAAGTATTGAGGTCATGTCCATATATCGCACAATAAGTTGATAACATAAAAATGATCAAGGTCATGTCCATGTTTTATAATTTGTCGATAATACGATTATCATGATAGGCGTAGTCTACAAAGCACCAGCAGTATGCAAGACAAACAACAATGGTGACACAATGCAGCCACACAAAAACACGTAATGCATTCTAAAACACGTCATTAACATTTTAACATTCGACAAACAGTCGAAGCATCAGTGCCTAGCAAGGGCAACAGCTGTTCCGAATGAATCAGCAAAATTTAGATATTTTGGATTAAAAATCTCACTCTTCATATCATCCTAAACCGAGAGCATAGCACTCATTTCCCTCGCCATTTAATCCTGTCAGTGGGCAATCTCCTCTAATACCTTGTTTCCTGTGACTGGTGTGTGAAATCTATCATTAACTGGCGAGCAGCCCTTTACCCTCTGTGGTGTATATGTATTCTCTAACCAAAACTAGGAGGTTTAATGCATGGACCTGCACTCTCTTTTGCCTCTCAGTGAGCCGCAGGCAGAAAGGTGCTTATTAAAATTAAATGGGTCAGTACAGGTTATTCAACACTGGGACACTGGAGCTCACTCAAGGAACTGACCACTACAGTGAGCTAGCCATCGCCATTATTCCTTTTCCAACACTTTGACAGCAAGCATTAAATATTAAGTAGATATGGTTCCCTTTGACCATGATCCATCTGCACGGAAATAGGACCACTTCACAGTGTCTGTACCCCATGGACCACTGGACAGCCGGAGTCTTTATGTATCACAGTGATGAAAGGTGCAGAACAACAGGCCTTTAACTGCTGGGTGAGAGAAGGAAAGGAGCTGGTGCTTACCTTCTTTAGGCGTCCACTCTTGGTGCCCACGAAGGCTACACAGTAACCATTGTAGACATAGGAGGTGACAGAAGTCATTCGGTCCCGAGTCTCGGTGTAGAGAGTGTGACCGGTCACCAGCTGTGAACCACCAAGCGGCTGGTTGATGTCCAGACCACAGAAAGAGTCGTCAATGGGCACCGGCTGCAGACAGAGATAAGACAAAAAAAAGTTATAGAAATATGAATGAAGGACAAGAGATAAACTGGAAGATATGAAGCATTAGAAGAAAAAAGAGATCATGACTAGGAGACAAATGTGTCACATAGAAACCCTTGACATGAAATGTACTGTATGAGGGGGAGCGACAAAAATACCTCAGAGGAAAGGCAGACTCGGAGAAGAAGACATTAGGAGAGGGGATATGCTGAGACGCAGAGCATTATAAAAGAAGACAGCTCGGTAAGGAGGAAAGATGAAGGTGACAGAGTGAGACAGAGAGAGAGAGAGTGATGGTCTAAGTTGTGAAAATGGTAGCAGTGTCAGAGAGTGTCTGAGATGGAGATGAGGAAGGTGAGAGGGGTGAGCATGAGAGAAAGCGGGAGGGAGGTCAGAGCGAGGTGGAGGTGTGCAGCTAAGTCTCCCAGCCAGACAAACGCTTGCCTTTCTGTTCCACTTGGCAGACATGCCTCAGCTCCGCCTGACTGAACTCCACCTTGCTCTCACTGTGGCTCATTACCCTGGCCTATCATCACACCTCTGCAGGAAAACACATGCTGCATGATAACTATGCGCACCGGCAAACACACTACGTGATGACTGTGCAACCATGAGATAGGCATCTAAGCGAAGAGGCTGCAATAAACTGTATTTACCCATTCATTAGAAGAGAATCACTGCCATAAAGTCTCATTAAGTTCTGGGCGTGACTGTACTGTATATCTTACACGAATTTTGTAGAGCCACGACTTGACTCCACCCTGAAGATATGAGGAGCTGGTGAACGAGGAGCAAGACAGCGGTCGTTCTGGTGTTGAATCAGGTCAGCTGAGAAAGTCTGAGTGGCAGTGGCCTCAAAGTGCCATGTGGAGTAAAGGGAGATGGCCAGGCGGGCTCAGGCCCAGCACGCCTCCCATGTATACATCCTATAGTAGCTTGCACACAAATTCCATCTCATTCTCCCTTAGAAATATATATATATATATATATATATCCCCCTCCCTTCAACCCCAACTCATTAATTCTCTATCTGCCACTACTGTATGTCTCCATCTCGTCTTCGTCCCTGTCACAGTGTCACAGTGGTATAAGCAGACTATGTTGAGTGACATTTCCCACTATGGGAGGCAGCTCAGCCTCTCACTACACACCATGGCTGTAAAACCTTTCAGTACTACGCAGATTTTCATGAGTGGAGCAAAGGCAATAATGCTGACAGGGAACAATCGCCTCCGGTCTGTTGTCACGCCCCCCAAACTGTATGGCATTTCCTTGTATTTCCTTTGCTCAAAATAGCACAGAGTGCTAGGGGGTACACCACTGCAGTATTCAAATTGGAGAAAAAAAAACATCTAAGCTTACCTCATTTTTTTCTGTTATAGTTCTAAAGTAAAATGTGCTGTATATAATTGTTTAAAGCTTGTTTTAAACATATACCGATTAGACATGGACACACAGAAAGAATCAGATGGGAAAGCAAGCATCTATCTTGTGAAACAGCTGTGAGTTCCAGACTTCGGCTTATCAATAGCTGCCGCCTCAAATGCATGCAGCTATTCCACATATGGTCTTTTGGGAACAAGACCATTTGGTTCTGATTATATCTAGATTGTTTAGATGATGTACGCTTAGCAGACTTGGCTGCCAAGCCTGATCCCCATGGATTGCACGTGGTTGAGTTTTCTTGTACACCTTCCTGCTGATTCTTTTTCTGTTTCCCTCTGCCTTATCACAAATCTCACAAGCAGTGAAGAAATGTAGATTTGCCACGTCTCAGACTGTTTCATACAGATTACGTTGGTTATCTTTAGCAGAGCTGTGGTGAGACCAAAATAGACTGTAGCCCTGTGCGATTAATCCTTATCGAACAACTCGCAATACAGTATAATATTTAATCTATGCTGAGAAAACAGTTTGGTCTGCTTCAACATTTGACTGCATAATCTTGTAAACAATGACACAAGACGTTTCATTTGGTGGAATCTGAATGAAGGATGAATTACATGTGACGGGATATCTGCTCTCAGATTTTCCCTCCCCTTTGCTCTCATGAGAGGTTAATGTGTTGGTGGGGCATGAGCAAAAGCAGGACAGGATGATAGTGTTAGTCAGAGAGAGACACACACACACACACACAGACACACACACACACAGACAGCTTGATACTGAAAGAATCCTATCATGGCTGTCCTCCTTGGGAGTGACTACAGAGTTGGTGTGAGCCACCAGATGGCAGAAGGCTGGACGGCTGAGTGATAAATCTTTGATTGGCTGTTATGTCTGAATCCCCTGGCTCAGCCTCAGTTCCATTCCCAGCCCCAGCCTCAGCCTGCATGTAAGCGTGCACACAGTGAAATGTCCGCAAGACGGGAATGAGGGCTGGGGATGTAATTAAGGTTCTCTGCTTTCAGCTCACTGGCTATACCTGCTGTAAGCAATGGACCAGAGGAAAGGCACCGGGACGGCATGTGTGTCAGAAACCAAGCGAGGTACAGAACAAACTAACAAAAACAATAAATAAAATCTCTCGAGTTGGTCCAACCTTGATTCACCTCATAGTTTGATGCGCCTGAGACACAGGCGCTCTAAAAATACCGCACAGTGAGCATCGGGAACATGTTTATTTAAGAAATACAAGATGTGAAACATGCACTTTAAAGCAGCCACAGTGAGTTGGGGGCTTTTAACAGAAAGCAGACTAAACATGTTTGCTTGGCTGACATATCTGGTTGTTAAATATAATTTGCATAGGCTTCAAGAGTTCCTCATCAATTGACATCTATCTACATTATCCATATGGATTTATTGGCTGCTCATTGAGCAAAAGGACATGGTCTTAAAGACTGCCTTTCAGATCTTCCTCTCGCAAAGCTTGTGGTGTATAGTGTGAAAGGAGTGCAGAAAGCTATTGGCAGTGCATGCCTAAATAATGGAGTGGGAGGTGCAGCCTTGCAGGCAAAGGAAAAGAACAGAAGTATAGAGACAATTCCATTCAAATTAATGTAGCAGGATGGTAAGCATGGCGGCCATTTTAATGTGAGCAGTTGCCATTATGACCAGGCTAGCTACAATATAAACTAAACCGACATACGGCCTCACCGAGGTGAGGTTTTGCAGTAACGACTCAAACTAGCAGTGGAGTTAATGCTTACAGCTTAATCCGCACACTCTTGTTACAGTGTAGGGAAGCACATTTCTATCGGCCAGATGAGTGACTTTGTTCGGCTCGTTTCGGTAACCAGTGTAGCATTAAAGTATGGTGGATTTAGCTTGCTAATTCTGTGACGCTTTATTGCTACACTGGTTACAATGCTACACAATGAGCTGAACAGCGGGCTGGTGGCCAGCAGCAGCAATGGGACTAACTGTCTCACTCCCCACCAGGCTGGAGAAGTAAAAGCTATCGAGCCAATTAGCCAGCCACCTGTCTCCGGAGCTGAGCCGGCTCTCTTCCCGTCGAGCTGCGCACTTTTCGGTCCCACTACGTGTGCCGTCACTATAACATCAATGTACTAGTCAAATCACCAACACTCCTGATCTATTTCTGTGTTTTCCAGGTAACGGCTGGCACCTTTTAGAGCACACTGAGATGATCAGGGACTCTTCTGGGAAACTGAAAAAAGGTTCAAATTTGAGCTCCCACAGATAGAAAGCCTCCCAACCTCAGCATTGTCATCACTATACACCATCTCTCCTTCTTCCTCCTACTCGCCGTCTTCCCACCTCTTCTGTGGCCTTCTCAGTCGAGCTAATAAAACTCAAAGCTCCTGTTTGAGATAATGTCCCCCTCCTCTTTACAATCACCTCTGACATTGTGCTAATAGGGAATGTACTGATTTTAATAAGATTGGTCAATTGAGTGACCTGGGGGGATTAGCAACAAAGGAAGCTGATCAGTGGCTCTCATCATAGTGAGGTTAGGGACATCATTAAACCTTAAAAATACATTAAGACCTACGCTAAAGCCCCCCTCCCCAAACACACCCACACACAGTAACGGACTAGTTACACTTACTTACTTACACTGAGCTACAGTAGTCATTAAGTCTGAATCATCTTAAATTCCTAATAGCAATTACAGAATGAAAGCACAGAGGACTGTATCCCCCTGGGAATGAAGGAAAATCAAGAAACGTAATTCTGCTTGACAACATGCAGCAGATACATGTAGTACAAGATAATTGGGGGTTTCCGAAGAAATAGGCTGGTGTGTGATCCCACCCACCCCCGGGGTGGAAGTGTGTTTATTTGTATTGTGCTCGAGGAGATCATCACTTTGATGGTTGTCAAGAAAAATAAATCGGCCCTCGTTCATGAATATCTCTCATTGAAATATACTTGAAAGTGCATGTTCTCTGATATCGGAGCTGCAAAACAATTTGGCATAATTACATGTAGTGTGAGAATCATTTGATAACAGAGGGTATGCTGTGCAAGGCAGTCAATAGCATTTCCTCATGATTGCTGTGTTTATTTTCACAACAGCATACGCCCTCAAAACTTTGAACACTGTGCTCTCTAGGCTCATTGAGAAGTGTCGGTCATTCCCTAAATGTTCACTATCTTATTTTAAGGAAGGAAACAAGATGCAGATGTTGTTGGACAATTGCATGTATTATCCTCTACTGCTTATCAGATTCTGCTTCACCTTAAAGCTTGACCTTAATTTTCAGGTTCATGCTTGTAGTTTCGGTCTCTACTAGAACATGTATATGCTTTAATGTTCAGAAAATACAGGGTTTTTTTTGTCTGTCTGAATATATATAATATGTATTCACCCTCTGTTTGAAACGCTCTATTTTAGCGCATGTCTCTTTAAGCCACCCTGCCAAAAATGAATGAACTGAAAATGACCTATGTAAATAAGAATTTACATTTCCCTCTAAGAGCAGCCTTGGAGCGTTGATAATGTGTACTGTAATAGAAATGTCCCTATTGTCACCACATGGAAGACTCATATTTCAGTCATTATCATTTCCATATTGTGAATATGTAAGAGGTGCATTCTGTGTGTAGAGTACATCTGTATATGTGTGCATGTATGAACATGAACACTCACCGCTTTGGTGCACTGCACATCTTTCCCAAGCAGCCAGTTGAGCTCCAGGTTTCCTTCTCCCTGGTAGCAGGACTGCAGGCGCTCCTTGATACGTGCGTTGATGTCTCGGATGGTGAAGACGCAGAGCGCCGAGTCATCCGGTGGGCGATGGAACTGCTTCTGGCCCTTGGAGAAGATGGTGAAGAGCACGTCATCTTGGGCGCTGATGTTGAGCGAGACAGCGAGAATGCGGCCTGGCTTGCCGAGGTAGGCGGCCTGCAGCAGCCGGTACTCAACGCCGTTCTTCACACAGCCAATAGGCAGAGAGACATAGGAGTGAAACTTGCGATCGTCTTTGCAGAGGCGGACAATGCGAGAAGTGTAGAAGAGGTCATTGGTGGATCCGCTTGATGACATGCTGTTCTCTGGCGTCTCGGGCTGCACAGTCAGGAAGTAAACAAAGCTGCCACTGGCAAAGCCGTAAACATAATAGATGTCAAAGTGGGAGACCAGTGCCAGTGTGTCTGATGGTATCTTGATGAGGGAGGACACAAAGTCAGTGTGCAATTCATAGTCTAGCATCGCAGAAGACTCTGGATCACGGGGCAGCTTTCGACTGGAGATGGTGGGAAAGTAGTCCTGTTTTCCGTCTACTGCTGTGCCAATAAATAGTGTGCCATCCTGGCCCTGTGAAGGCACAATGACCCCGTACATAGTCCCAGTCTGGTTGACACTGGAGAGGTAGTGCTCCTTCTTGTGGGAGGGCTCCACTAAGATAAAGAGGTCATCCAATCTGAGGAGTTTGCAGACACCCTGGTAGAGGCTGCCACAGGCCAGCAACCGATTTTGGGAATAATCAATGAGGAGAAGCTTGTTGACATTGTTGGTCGAGACAAGGGGCTCAGAACAGGGCTGGACAATCAGAGGGGGGTAGCAGGCCTTGTTGTCATCCTCTGGGCCTGTATCATGGGAAACGAGGAGGGTCAGGTTGCCTGAGAGCTTGTACACACGGTTGACTGCTCCGATATACAATGCCCCCGTGGTCTGGTGAACCGTCAGGTGGTTGAACGCCCAGTCCCGGCGTTCAGGGTGGAAACTAGTGAATGTCTGCCCACTGCACAAGGCAGGGGCCGCTAAGAGCCAAAAGCTTAGCAGAGTAGCCATAGCTCCTACTTTAGGGTCAGGCGATAAAGTCCTGCGTGTAGCCCGCCGGCCCGCCATGTTTGATGGGCCTGCAAGGAAACGGCAAAGGAAGCAGAGAGAACGAACGAGGCGAAGAATGGAAGGGACCTTCGCCTTTCTGTTGTTGAAGGCTAACTTGCAGGTCAAATCTCTGCAAGGGTCTTCACATGTTTCTGGAAAAGAAAACAAGAAATAAAACGATTTTAGATATCACATTATGACTAACACATCCTACAAAAGGAAACACGTCTGACTAAATGGAAAAGCCTCTTATTAATAAAAGAGCTTTCACTGTTTGAAAAGGTCAAAGTTCTTCGTCAGTGAGGCGATGAGCTGCGGAGAAGAGAAGTGGAGGTTTAAAGACACAATGAGCGGAAACCATCATGGTGCACATTCCAAAGGAGTTGCTGAAGGGGGCAGGACACCAACGGAAATGAGCCTGACCTGACTCATACTACCTCTCACGTTGACACACACTGAGCAAGCGGTTTCTAAGAACAAAACTGCATCAGACTCACACAAAGCCTTGGACACTTGGCAATGACTCAGCAGACTTAAAGTAAATTGGAAATAATAATAATTTTGCATGTTGTTACAATGATTCTGAGCTCCAAAAACATTATGACAGTAATATTTGTGACCATACCAGAAAACATGAATTAAGTTTTGATAAAATGAAAACAATAACACTTTAAAACAATAACACAAACATAAGCACACAGCGGAAACTCCTGTGCTCGCTCCGTCTTCAATTAATTTCTACCCCCTCCCTCACGTTTCTTACGCTGACTACAACCGATCAACCAACGCCCCCAGCATTTGTTCCCTTTCCATATCCATCTGTGAAAACATACATCAGGCAAAGTGTGCAATTTATGCAACCATGCTCAGCCTGTGCTGCAGAGATCTCTCTGCCATAAACTACGAGACCGAGCTCTGTGCTGTCTGTCCCCGGGAGTTAATTATCTCGTCCATTGGAAAGGAAGGCCTGGATCTTATTACTGGAACAAAGTGAGAACAAATTGGGAGCCACTTCCACACATCCCTCCCCTTGCTCTCTGCTCTTTACAAGGCTTTTACAGAATCTGAACCTATTCACGATTATTCTTCAAAACGTTGCTGTTGTTGTTGTTGTTTTTTTATCATTTGATTCTATTCATCTTCTGCTGCCATGATCAGATTGTAGAGGGATTAATCACTGGCGGCACTGCAATCATCTTTAAATGAATCACCGTATTACACAGTTCCCTCATAAAAACACCAGCCAACAGTATAATATACAGGATGTGTATGTGTGTGTGCCTCGTTCTCATAGTATTATCAGTGTACTCTATCAGAACCGAGCACTGTGAGGGGCTAACAAGTGGAGACAATGGCAGTGCATCCCAAAATCAAGTATGATTAGGCGTAGCAATTCAACAAGGGTAATTACTGCGGAGCTGGAGGAGGTAAGCTGGGGAGCGACACGGGGGCGCCAGGGGGCTCGAACGTGTCAGAGATGGCCCTACATCGTTTGTCATGCTCCAAATTTGCATTTCCAGCAGTGAGGGCGCAGGGAATCAACGGTGAAGGATGTGGCTGGAATAATCAGCGACTGCGCCTTGAATTAACAAGCAACCGAAGCATTATATAAGGAGCATTACATAGAGATCCTACGCACCCAGGCCACTACAGGCCACTACAGCGACTGTGTTAGAGGCAGGTTTGATTTGCAGAGCCGATTTGGGACTCCCTCTGAACCGTGTCTGTCCTTTCATAAACCTCGTTCCAGATTTGGTAATGGCCATCTTGGGGGTCCCCCCCCCCTGTGATCAACGGGTACGCTACTCAGCTCAGACTTAAATATAGACCCTTAGGGAGTGTATTGATCCATGTGTCCATAAACACAGGTCCTAAGGCCCAGTCAAGCTGTTCTCGGCGTGTGAGCAGACGGAGGTGTGGGAGGTGCTCTGTCCCAGAAGCACTTTATTAGCATGGTCATAAAAGTGCCATTGCTTCTGAAAAAACAGCAAGGGTCAGACCCCCACCTTCACTTTCAGCTGCCTGCATGCTGCCATGCTCCTTTGTTTAGGTTTGTACATGCTGGATGTGCAAAGTGGATCCCTTTGGTGGTATAATCAGCCTCCTGCTGAGCCAGCTTTTTCCTCAAGCCCCGCAGCCTTTTGCCCTTTAGAGTTCTCGCTACACCCCCGCCTCTTAATCGCATGTGTGTATAAAACATTTACTCCCATCCATCTTTTCTTCCTCGTCTTTTTTATTTCTCTCCTCTTCCACAGTTGTTGGAAGAAATGTATGCATCGCTCCCTCATGTTGTGGCAACAGCTGCGGAGGAAGAAAGTGACTGAATGGTGTAAATAAAAGACTCAACAAAAGGTTATCCATTCATATTGCTGTCAGTAACAGAGGGAATGAAGAGCCTTTGTTTAAGTTGATTGCATGACCACCTCTTTGTTGCACTTGACAGAGACTTCTCTGTACCGTGCAGCTGAGGAGTAAACTTGAAAAGAATAAGAACAACACCAGATCACCACTAGCGCTCTGTAGTTCAAAGCCATGTCTTTCTGTTGTTTATGAGAAGTCAGAATCACCCATATAGAAGAAAATTAACATATAAATGCAACCAGGAATGATTCATTGAAAACATAGTTACCTACTGACCTAGAAAAAAGAAGAGGGCATGACTAAGTTAGCAGTGAATATAATTACCGGTAAGGTAGAACGAAGGCAGCATTTTTGGCTTTTAATTGCAAATTTCTCTCATCAGCTTTGTAAATTTAGCTCCTGTTATGTGAGAAACATCTTTGCCAATGGTGCTAAGGATCTAACAGCAACTGACTAATTGCAATATCAGCAATATTCAAACACAAAATGAACAGTTGTCTATCTCTGACAACACAAACAATTGCTGGTTCTGATGCAGGAAGGAAGATGGGCTGACATGACGTCAACCGCTTTTATATATAAAAAAGTGGTATATATATATATATATATAGATAGATAGATAGATAGATAGATAGATAGATAGATAGATAGATAGATAGATAGATAGATAGATAGATAGATAGATAGATAAAGTGTATAAAATGGCAAAAATAAACTAAAATATCAAGATCATGGTTAGTAGATTTCCATTCTAACACCAGGGTTCAGAGTTAGAGGTGTCATGTTTAATCTTTATTTAAGTAAATTTATCTGGAGTTTCGCCCACCTCCTCTGCCGCCACCCAACTTAACTCCTGTTTCTTGGGTAATTTAAATTCCACTTGTGCTTGAGCTCATAAGCTTTTATTTTTACCTGCAGTTACTTTCTGGCACGTGATCGGTACTGCGCATGTGCAACTCTCGCCAGAGATGAGAGGGAAAAAAGATGGTTCACTTCTGAGCTACTTCTATCATCAGCTCCGGAAAAAACAACGATTAATTTAATTATTGTTCAACACTTGCTCAAGAAGAGCCTCGAGTCAAGAGAGACCAAAAGCTCTTGCATTCTGGCACACACGCAAGCTGTGATCATGGCTCGGAGAAAAGCCAGGTTTCCCCCCCCCCCGCAAAACTTCCCATTCGTAATGAGTAGTCAGGCTCACAAAACACTGCTTTCGCACCCTCAGCTGCTTCTGAGCGCTTGTTAAACAAACTGGTCCCACTGTTTCTGGTTGTGTGGGTCCCTGTGCCAGGATGCTGGTGATTTCCCCCAGCCACTGGGCAAGATACAGCGGCCGTGCCAACTGCGGTTAAAGGGAGCTGCATTGTGTCTGCTTATCTCACGAAGAGATGCAGAGAAGCAGCGGACGGAATAGGCGAGGCCAGGAATGAAATGAATGTGAAATGATAAGCTATGCAAACCATCACTGAGGGTTGTGAAGACAACAGCCCGAGGGCAGTGCAGCAGCCAGCAAACTGAATCAGAAAAGAACAGGCTTCAGGATGTGGCCTCCGGAGCAGGAGCAGCTCTAAACCTCTGTCACCCTGGAATAGGCAGCAGGTCTTCTCCTTTTTTTGTCCCTATATCCTAAGCTTCTTAACAACGCAGCCAAATTTGCTTGATCTCCTAAATTCATATTTACAGCAATTGTATTGCGAAAGATAAAGAACATAAACCAAAATCCGTTCATGGTGCGAAATCCATTGTTGTTGGATAGGAAACTGAAATAGGAGATTGTAATTTCATGCCTTGGATTAATGTGTTATTCCCTGAATCATTAATGTAAAGCGTGAAATCCTAATGCTTAAGTAAAAGTGATACACTACAAATTAAAGAGACAGCTTGGAACAAAAATCAACAAACCAGCTAGTCAAGAAAAGGTTTTAAAACATTTTGCCGTGGCCATTTGCACAGTAAAAATAAAAAGTTGAATCTCCCCTAAAGGGAAATCTTCTTATATAGGAGCCTATAAAAAAGCGATTAACTGCAGAGGTTAGTCCATTAGTCTTCTCGCTTTGCTGCTATCAAGAGCAGAGATAATGAGAGGACTCGCTGGCATCTTGAGTTGTTGAGCTGGAGTTATATTTATACATTCTTTTGTCTCAATAGGAAATGGATTTCTCTGCTCCAGTGCCAGCTCTATCCAACAGCCTCCAAGAAAACTCAACACATCTATTCTGCATCCATCCATCCTTCCAGCCACCACAAGGAAATGGCACAGTAGCAAAGTAGGGGGTAACACCCATAAGAAACCAAAATCCCTCCAGTAACTGCCATCATTTCACTGTCTGGTTCCCTGTGCTGTCCTGTTGGAGGTGGTTTATTATGCCTAATATTTCCTTTCCGGGACAGAATTTTAAATCAAACAACATTAAAAAGAGGAAATAGTCACAGAGACATGGAATCAGAGTAGTGCATTCACTGCTGTAGCTAATTCTTACTCATAATGATTTTTAACTGTTTTGTTTTTGTCCATCTTAAGGCATGATGTGTGCTAGAGCTATTGCTAAAAGAGCTGTAATTCACTAGTGCATGGTTAATTAACATGGTTAATAATATGCACTTGTACACAATTAAGCATCAGCTCTAAAGGTACTGCAACAGAACACTTTTCATCCATTTGTTAGTGACCCATATCAGTGCACTTGCTCATGACTTCTGAGTTCAGAGGCCAGCAGCGAGGCCTTCGGTTGTCTTTCACTGAATTGCACCCATTGAAAGCAGTCACAGTACTTCATTACGCATCAACCTC